GAATCAATCAACTCAGCGCCCTCGGAATAATGCCCCTTGGCCCAATTATTCCCGGCACCGGGTTGTCCAAAAACGAAATTGTCCGGTCTGAATATCTGTCCAAACGGGCCGGATCTCATGGAATCCATAGTACCAGGCTCGAGGTCCATGAGAACGGCGCGAGGGACATACCTGTCGCCGCTGGCCTCATTATAGTAGACGTTGATACGCTCGAGCTGGAGTTCGGAGTCGCCGTTGTACTTTTCGGAGTGATCGATGCCGTGCTCGTCACAGATGACCTCCCAGAACTTGGCGCCAATTTGGTTACCACATTGGCCGCCTTGAATGTGAAGGATTTCTCTCATTTTTGCTCCCCTCTTTTGCAGAAATCAATGTGATTGATTGCTTACGTTGTTGATTTGCAAGGCGACTGGATTTGTGTGTATGTTTTTCTCTGTCGTTTCGTGAGCGGAGGAGAGGATATTGTGGGCAGAGTTTAAGGCTGATATTTGAGGGAATTTACGGGACTTGCCATTATGATTTATTTTTTATTTGAATATTATGTAAAATGCATTTGATGCACATTAAAACGGAAATAATGCATTTTTTTGTGATGTGGCGGTGAATATGTGTTTGAAAAAAAGGGAAAAGATACTGATGTAATGGAAAATATTATTTTATTGAAAAATGTGGAATTGAAAATGAGTCGAATAATGAAAATGAGAATGAGAATGTGACTCAAACGGGGACTTAATTGACAAATATGTCTTTCACTATAATTAATTAATATTAAGTTTTGTTACACTTACGTCGTTGGTTGATAATTATGTTTAAACTCAATGATATGACATGCAATTTTATCATTAATTTTAACAATAGTTAAAATAATCAATAATTTCGATTTTATCGCATCAAACAATGTCAAATTAATTGTACAAAATAGGTGTACAACTAATTTAATTCATATTGTAGGTGGTAATGGTACTGGCGGTGATGGTGAGGTAACTACGATCGTGTTGGTGGTTGAGGTGGATAAAGAGTGTTTGTTACAAATTATTTGGATGATTGTGACCAATAATATGGTTAATTTGTGATCAATAAATAATCATTGATCGGTAGAATATATAATTTGTGATCGAAAAAATGTGAGATTGTAACTAAATAATTATAACTTACAATTTGTTAAAGTGTGACAAATTAATTTGATGATTTGTAACCTTAGAAATAACTAGTGAACAATTAATTTGATAATTTGTTATCGTGAAATAATTTGTTACTTATAAAATTTGTAGTTTGTGACCGAGAAATAATGCATGGCCTTTTAATTTGACAATTTGTGACACATAAATAAATTGTGAACCATAAAATTTGTGATTTATGATCGAGAAATAACGTGTGATCAATTAATTTGATAATTTATGACCGATAAATAAGTTATGACATGTAAAATTTGTGACTTGACTATGATGTTTTGAGATTGTGATTCATACGTAACTATGACCATAAATTATATAATATTGTAACATTAATATATTTAATTAATAAAATATATTTAATTATTTAATAAATTAATAAAATTAAAATTATGACCTGATTTTTGAAACTTTAAAATAAGCTTCTTAGATTCGAAATTGTATCTTGCAACTACACTCTATAATTGTTCCCAATATTTAAATGGATCAGGTCAAATTTAAATTATTATCCCATTTAGTTTTTACTAAAAAGTCTATCAAATGGCCCTACCTATATAAAAAGCTTATCCTACACTAAAGCCTATCCCAATCTTAAAATTCATTAAAGATATATAAAATAAAAAATTAAATAAAAAACAGGTTATTACCAAATTCTCTATGAATAAACCAAATGTCCATGAAAAATCACGAGTGAGTGTGCAAGAGAAAAATTACGAGTCCAGAAAGAGATTCCAATGTGAAAGATAAAAGAATCTCAAGTCCAAATCTGAAAAATTGCAAGAAGATCAAAGCCTTCTTAAAATTCAAGCAAGCTCAAATCAAGTCCAAGAGATCAAAGTCAAAGTAAAATCAAACCGAAGTCCTAAAGTTTAAATCCAAGTAACGAAGTGAAGTTCAAATTCAAGTTCCAAGCAAGTCAAGTTTTCAACAAATCAAATCTCTAACAAACCTTGACATCTAGGGTTCAAGTCACATTACCTCTTGTCTTTAAACACTCCAATTGTTAATCAGAGGATCATGCAGCTTTGCTATCAAAATAAGATCAACAACTACTTTATTTTTGGTAATTAGCACATGAATTTCGTACATTTCATTACAATTGTGTAAAACGTTCATGCCTTCCATTTTTTTGGCATTTTCATCAATATTTACACTTTTGATGGTACAAAATGTCATTCTCTCCATTTTCATTTAACTTCTCCATAAGTGAATGCATATAGTCAATTTGTATTTTTTTTTTTTTTTGGATATTATCTTCTTCAAACATTTTTCCTCTTTCTTCATCAACTAAGACCACAAATGGAGTTCCGATTCTTCATCAACCAAGACCACCGTCTGCTGTACAACTTGAAGATTTTCACCACTCTATCCTTGGTGGTTGACCGCCCACTAATATGCAACGGTGCCACCAGTCCTTCACTATCCCATATACCAACATTTCCTCCAAAACGCTTTCTTTGGAATGAAAATTGAAAAGCAACCAAACAAATTTCACGCCAATTTTGTTGCAGCATCTGACCTATTCAACAATTTCTCACATATGGCTGCAATTCCTAGATCGTGTTCAATAAAGGCCAATCTTTTGTCATCACATCACATTCACAAATGGCTGCAATTCCTAGATCGTGCTAATTGCATTATTTACTCACACTTTGATCTGTTTGAGTTTTGAAGAAGCTCGATCAGGGTACAAATTGCACTAGCTTCAATGGCTTTTAATCGGCTTTTCTTCGAGGCATCCAAGATTTCTATCAGCACTTGTAGAGCACATGAACTTGCCTTTGTACAAATTTTATCGGGTGTTTATTTCTAGTTAGGACTTGAAGAATTATATACCTTGATCTTGTGCAACATAATTCCAATGATAATCAGCTTTAACCATCTTCAGAAATATCGAAATGGTACAAAATCGGGCGTCGCCACTTCCTCTTTGAAGCATTACAACCATGGATTTCATACACTCAGGCTTCATCAACAGTCGAATTGACTCATCATCTTTTTCCTCAGAAAAATTGATTCCATACACCCATTCTGTTCTGAACTTGATTCGAGAAGGAAGAACCCATAGGAACATTATTCATTTTTGTTATGTTTGGGCTGCCTCATAATTACTTGGCCATGTTGGTTATATTGGTATTTGGCCCAGAATCGTTTCTTTTTGGGCTCTGCAATCTGGCCTTACATTTGGCCAGATCTTCACCGTTGATTGGAACCGTTTGATCTCCTACTTTAAGTGATTCTCGAAACTTCATTTTCTGGAGTCGGTTGGAGTGACTTTGTGAGATATTCTCTCTGTATGATTAGGGTTATCTCTCTTTCTCTCTGTCGTTTGAAAATCTGAGTGATTTTCGGTGTAATTTCTTAGTGATAAGGCAG